TCCGTGAGTAACCCTGTCAGAGCCATGACGCATCAGCCCCAGATGCGCTGGCTCTGCTGGAGAGATCGCACCAGCCAAGATCCAGGTCAGATCTAAGGCAAACTGTCGCGTCCTGTGGAGGCTGAGAGAGGAGAGAAGGAAGCAGCAAAAGACAGGCAGGGAGGGCAAGGTGCCCACGAGAAAGGGCAGATTCCAGTTAAGTCATCCGTGACCACTCTAATTACCCAAATGTTTTCTGGAGCCAGGAGGTTTTGACCACCTGATTACCAAAATATGGAGAATATTCCCAGATCATGATGTTCAGCTGCCAGGCAGTAAATGAGCTTCTAGAAGTAGAAGAATATCCATCGCCTTTCCCGGAATTTGGCGTGTTTGAGGATCACTAACACTGGACCTGAGAACTGGCTACTGAGTTATGCATTTCTCCACCAAGTCGCCCGCTCTGCCCCTCCCCCTTCAGCTTGGTCCTAATCCTACTGTTCCCAGGAACATGCCATTTGCCTCCAAAGTATTGTTACAAAAGGTGGCCTTCACTGCCCTTGATTTTTTTTTTTTTTTTTTTTTGAGAGACAGAGTCTCTCTGTTGCCCAGGCTGGGGGATAGTGGTGTGATTACGGCTCACTGCAGCCTCCACCTCCCGGGTTCAAGCAATTCTCCTGCCTCCGTTTCCAAAACGCTTGCACTACCGGCATGCACCACCACGCCCAGTTAATTTTTACATTTTTTAGTGGAGACAGGGTTTCACTCTATGTTGGCCAGGCTGGTCTAGAACTCCTGACCTCAGGTGACCTGCCCACGTTGGCCTCCCAAAGTGCTGGGATTATAGGCATGAGCCACTGCTCCAGGCCTGCCCTTGATTTTTCTCTGGCTTTCAGCCTCCCTGTATCAGCAGCTGAGAAGGTGAAACAAAAGTTTGAAAAAACAAATCCCCTGCAGCCTCTTGTACCGTGCTGATGTAAGCTGCACAGAAGAGGAGTTTATCTGGTAGAAGCCAACCATGAGAGAGTTAAATCTTCATCCCACCCTATGGAAGCTTCAAGTCCCAGAGAAAGAAACTGATGTGCTCAGTCAGCAAACCCAGCAACACTGCGCATCTCCTCAACAAACATTCTCAATTTCTTTTACACTCCATCCTGCGCCCACCCCTATACTCTCCCCCACCACCTGATTGATTTGTGGGAAACACAGAAAGTGATGCTGCCCCTCTGAACTCACAGATGTGCAAACGCTGCATCACACTGGCCACTAGCTGTCCAGCAGACCTGTACAAGAACCAACACGCTCACAAAGATGCCCCTCTCTGGGCTGGCTGTTGTTGGTCTCATTTAAGGAGTGGGCACCAAAGGAGTGCAAGTGAGTGAGCAGCGTCTGGCGCGGTGCACAAGCCCTGACACCGAATGTGACATGAGCCTCCATCCAAGGACACTGGGAGATGCCACCTGCCATCTGCCTCCCACCACCCCCAAAAGTTGCTTCTCTTTCTTCAAGCCATGTGCATATAAAGTCTCAAAAAATTCATGGTTACTAGGAAATGATTGCAAGGAATTTCTTCTTTGGTACTGGAAAAAGGAATATTTTTCCTCAAAAAAAAAAAAATAATAACATAAACTGAAACGTCTGTGTTACACCAGTAAGTCTAGTGCAAATTAATAAATGCCAAGAGGGAAAAACTCACAAGAGGAACAACAAAACAACTTTTCTTGTTCTAAAAAGAGAACAAGGATGGGGTCAGGTGCGGTGGCTCACGCCTGTAATCCCAGCACTTTGGGAGGCCGAGGTGGGCAGATCACCTGAGATCGGGAGTTGGAGACCAGCCTGACCAACATGGAGAAACCCTGTTTCTAAAAAAAAAAAAAGAAAGAAAGAAAGGAAAAGAAAAAAGATGGATTGAGGGGCCTGAGTGAGATGCTGTGTGTGTACGGGTGTTGGAGAGGGAAAGGGTCAGGGCCACACACACACTGAGTGATCCCTGTGTCCTAGAGGAGGTTGGCCAGCACAGAATAAAAAGCGGCCTCATAAATGCCTAGAAACAACCCACCCTTGACACATCTGATTAGAGGCTCACCTGTCGCCAGGTAAAGGCATGCTTGGCATCCCTGTGGTATTTGCTCTGTCATCAACATATCTACAGGCCTTTCTGGGGCTTTTCATTCCAGCTCCAGTCCAATAACCCTCTTTTATCCAGATACCCGATAAGCATCTCCTTCTCTACCAAAGGGACCATGCTTACTGATGAAACATTCTTTGTGAAAAGCCAATAATGTACCCCACTTGGACACGTAGAAAGAGCTGAGGTGTGTCAACATCCCCCCAGGTAAATTAATCTCGCAGAGATGTATTTTTCCAGGGAACTGGTATTTGCCCCAATTCCCCTGCTTCTGTTATTCTCCTTGGCCCCACCGAACACAAGACAATTACATTTTCTTTGCTTTTCTTTTTTTGAGTTGGGGTCTCACTTGTTGCTTAGGCTGGTCTTGAACTCCGAGGCTCAGAGGGTCCTCCCGCCTCAGCCTCCTAAGGAGCTAGGATTATAGGCATTTATCATCAAATAACCTTGGAACCACTGGTGTTGGTGGTTGCGACAGGCTGTGTCTTACAAGTAACCTGGTTTACACCCAGCACCTAGTAAATTATGATGAATAAAAAAAAAAGAAAGGAGGGAACAAAAAGAGGAAGGAACTCTGATGTTTCCTCTGGCAACACAGGGAGAATGGGAAAAATGACCAACTTAGGCTGAATTCTTTTTTCTTTTTTATCTTTTTAAGATAGAGTTTCACTCTTGTTGCCCAGGCTGGAGTGCAATGGTGCAATCTCGGCTCACTGCAACCACTGCCTCCCAGGTTCAAACAATTTTCCTGCCTCAGCCTCCCAAGTAGCTAGGATTATAGGCATGCACCACCACACTGAGCTAATTTTTATATTTTTAGTAGAGACATGGTTTCATCATGTTGGTCAGGCTGGATGGTCCCAAACACCTGACCTCAGGTGATCTACTCACCTCGGCCTCCCAAAGGATTAGAGGCATCAGCTGCCGCGCCTGGCCAGGCTGAATTCTCTTAAAGAAAAAATATAAATGATATTGCACAAGAGTATACATATAATTACTTAATTTAGAACATTCTTACGGTAACTTCCAATGTCTGCCCTCTTCTCAGTCCTCAAAGATCCATCCAAAAGCAGTATATTTCCAAATATTAATTTTCTCAAACTGTATTCTTAGATGGACAGTGAAGAAAAGCCAGCTGGCATTGGGGAAAGAAAATACCATGACTGTGGCTGAGTCTGGGAATTTTAAGGGCATCTTCCACTTCTATATTAACTAAAAAGAAAAGCATTTTAACAGTTGCAGTAAAGAAGTTGAGGAAATAATTCAGGGGCAGTGGTCTAGCTATGCCAAATTATAGGCTGCCTCCAGAAGTTGGCAATTTTCCCTATCAGAAAATAAATAAAATAGAAACCATGTAAGAGTTATCTCAGAACTGAACTCACCTAGAAACAGGTTGGGCAACTGGCCCCATCTTTGCTTTCCTGGCCCCAAGAAAGATAATCATGTCACTCAAAATAACAACAGCATTCTTGGTGGCAGAAGTGACCCAACAAGCCCCTTTTTTCCTTGCTCTTAACACACTATGGTCATTCGCCTACACTTGACACACGCTCTAAATTCCATCCTCTGCCTCTACAAAGAAAGACCTGCTGGAAACATGGCTTCAGAGACATTAACAAGGACCCATTCGGCTGGGCATTTGGAGCTGCGTTGTGAACAGCCAGACCCATGCCAAAACCACTGCTGACCAACTGGGTCCTAATCCTTCCTAATGCCTTGTCCAGAAAATGTCATTCCCACCTGAAGTCCCAGGAGAAGCATGGCTGGGATTAACCTGCAGTTTCTCCATGTGCATTCTAAAATCACCAACGGGCTTGTTTAAAATGCAGATTCCTGGCCCTATCCAAGATGACTGAGCAAGAATCTCTGGGGCTGAGACAAAGGAATCTGCCATTTTAACAAGCACCTTGTAAATCTTACTAAAATACACATTGAAATAGAGCCAATGAGTTCGCTGTTTCGCTTGCTATTTAAAAAAGAAAAAAAAAACCCTTGATCAGAACCAAGTTTCAAATGCTTTTGTAAACACTCTGCATCTATATCTGCCTTCCGCTTCCATCTCTGTGAACAAGCAGAAAAGAGTTGAAGCGTTTCCTGTCCTACCTACCTTTGCAGGGCTTTGGTTACAGCAGAGGTGGAGGCTCCATCATGTCCCATCTCCCCCAAAGCAAAATTAAACCCATCAGGAGGCGACGCAAGCAGAAAGCAACCACCAAAGACCAAGTTGGGAGTTAAAAACAATCTATTGCTGGTTCCATACAAATATTCTACCAATAAATCCACAGCCACACCTGTGAACTACCAACAATGAGACATACTAGATGCATACAATTCTTTTCAAGTATCAAAGGGGTTAAGCCAAAATCCAGTGTAGAAAGTTATCATGGACCAGTTTAAATCAAGCAGTAGTTCAGATGCACCCCCAGGACATGAGTTTCTGATCTTGACTTTAAAAAAGAAGTCAAATAACTTAACAGTCTCTTTCCTACTAGTGGCATGAGTCCCAAGTGAATGTTCCTGCTTATCTCGAAAAGGGAATTAGATCACAGGAGACAAGTGTGGCTAATGCTTCGAAGAGACCTCTGTGCTTGAGTCTGATCAAACGCACACGGGGGATTTCCCTCTGGTTATTTCCAGTCCTGCTGATTAGTCTTCTAATTCTGATACTATTGTCCTTTCTTGCCCTTGGAAATGGATGCCATTGATCCAAGCGACGTTCCATGACTAGACTCTCCAAGCTCCAAACACTAGCTGGGTGACCACCAAGCATCACATCAGAATCACTCACACATGGAAAGTCACAGAGGTCGATAGCAGAGCAACAGATCTGAGAGCTGGCTGGGTCATGGGGGAGGAGTAAATTTCTTTAAACTCTTTATCTACTTTCTGTTACCTGTCTCCGCAGGGGGATGCGCTTGGTCAGCTTGTGCACAGCCGGCTGGCTGCTGAAGTCTGGTTTCTTGGTCGTGTTCTTCATTCGGCACAGGATAACGGTCACCACCATACAGGCGATTAAGAAGACCCCTATGCAGTAAATGGCTATCTCCAGGTAGTCTGGGGAAGCTGTGGTCTCCTTTTCTCTTATGGGAGCTAGATTGCAGATCAGAGGGGGAGGAACAGATAAGCAGGCCACAGAGTTAGCACACCAGACTGATGCATCAAAGCACAACCAAAGGAATCAAAAGGACGACCATTCTCAAGGTAAGGTGGGCTTCCCAAAAACTCAATCCCACAGAATGGCATGGGCCATAAGGCCTGCCGAGTGCCTCTTCCCTGTGCCTCTACCAAATGAAAATGAATAACCAGGGCTTCATCATTTGACCACCAAAAGGTCACTGTCTCTTGCCTCTGCAATCCAGTGAGTGGCTGACACCCAGCTGCACAGGGCAGGCTATGAGGCCACATTCTGTTAGACGTTTGAGCAGAGGCCAGCCAACTGTACCACAATGAAAGGATTATCCTTCATGATGGTCTGTGAATGCAAACCGCATTAAAAATTCTGAAATATCAACGATGCCCACTTTTGTTTCTAAGGAGACAGTGACAGTCTTATGTGGGTGGGCTCTTCTAAAGGAAGACTCCACAGGTGACTTGGCCCGGACGAACACAGTTCCATATGAAATGGATATTCATCTAGCAGCCTGGTCTGAAAAAGTTTTAGTGAATTTCTTAATACTGCCTAGTCCATAAACAAACCAATTCATTAAATATAAAGATTGAATTGCTTATAATACAGAACCATTAGATCCATAACACATAAAGCACATAATATTCCTTAATAACCTTTTAAGTTGATACATATCTGGTTATACTGTGATATCACTACAACTTTTCTCTTAAAGAAAAAACATAAAGGTATTCTGTGCGACTATACATATAATTACTTAATTTAGCACATTCTTCTACCAACTTCCAATGTCTGCCTTCTTGTTGGTCCTCAATGATCCATCTACAAGCAGTGTATTTCCAAACAGTATTTTTCTCAAACTGCCTACTTAGTTAAGTGCTACTTGCACTGTCAGGCAAACTGGTTAAGAAGTGCCAATTAGGCACCACAGAATGCAGTACTGCAAACAAAAGCAAGCTTCGACCTAAGAGCCATCTCATTGTTTTAAAGCAAATATTCACAGAGCAGATTTGCAATAAAAGGAATAATGGATGCAATGATATTACTGAAAGCTTACACATTTTAATCAGAAAAATACTTGCAAGACAGTCAAAACTCTCAGCAGCAACAGCACAAAAATGAAATGATCTATTTTATTTTTACTAGATGTAAAATACGCATGCAGGTAGGCACCATACTCTAAAAACAAGGAATTGATATCTGGAGTGGAACATCATAAGCTAGCAAACCACAGTCTCTGCACTTTCACAAAGGAAATGACAAAGAGGCAGGTGCATCAGAGAGGACAGTGTTTATATCAAGCAAGTTTCACTAGAATAGAGATGTTGGTTAAAGATTCGGACAGCAGCAGTGTTTAGGCAACAGGGCTGCAATGATGTCTATTTCTCTGCAAGGCAGAAATAACATCAAGCCCAAGATGGCAGGAGCATGCTTTGCAATGAAAGCAATCTGAAAGTCCGTTCTATCGCAACATGCAGCAAGCCACCAATACGCAAGGCAGGCAACACACTGCTTCTGTGCACCCGACATTCAGGGATGCTGCTCCCCAGGCACCTCCATACACACCCCTCTATTTACATCTCGTTAAAAATACAAAGTGGGATGAAAGCAATAAAAACACATATGGGATTTCAGCAAAATGGAATTTGAAATGGGAATAAATTACTTTGCATTTTACAAAGTAATTTCAACTTCTTCCTTAAGAGAAAGGGGGGTGGGCTAATTTATACATTGCCTCAATGACTCACTAAAAATATGAGATCCTTTCAGGTTTTAAGGGTGAAATTTCCCTTGATCATAAATGTGAGTGTGGGATCTCATTGTACATGAAGTTCCAAGGCAGTTTTCTTACCCCTGAGGGATAATTTGTAACATTTTTTATATCTTTATGCAAGGATAAAAGGGGCCATTTCTGATAACAGAAGCTGTGTTAATTTCATAGCAATCAACCAAGAAAAGGGAAAAAAAACCCAGAGAGAAAGAGCAGTATATACCTGGCAGAACTGTCAACCATGCAGAGTGAAAGGATATCCCAATAGAATTACCCGCCAAGCATGTATATTCCCCAGCGTCCTCAAAAGTTACATTCCGAATATAGAGAACCTCAATCTCTTTGTCCGTGGTGTTAACACCGGCAGCCTAGAAAACAAGGGAAGCAAGAGAAAAGGCTAGACGACACAGGAATGATTGTGGAGGAGGCTGTGGAACCACGAGGCGTCGCACCGGGGGCGTCAGGGGGTGCTGGCCGCTGGGAGATTCCGACTGCAGCCCATCCACAAAGCCCACACCCAAGAGACACAGAACAACACTGACCAGCTCACCTCCACAGGCCCGTCACCACACCGGCTTCACCTCCTAGACATGCACACAATCAAACGCATGGAAAAAATCAACCCACAGAGGTCCGTTCTCTTGGCCTGTGCTTTGGTTTGCATTTATAGAGGTGAATTTCCAAAGGTATGGCGCCCAGAAGGCCAAGCTAGGTTCTGGTCCCGTTGGCTGCAGACTCCCGCCAAGAGGAAAGGCCAGTTCTATCTAAACTGCTGTGTTTTAAGACAACACACCACTGCACATGAGCCCAGATGGACACCTCACCCATCCTCCTGGCCCTGTGGGAACCAATCGGGGTGGAAGGTTGTCTTGGTTACCAGGCTCTGGTTATTTTTACTTCTGCAAAACCATCTTGCCTTACACAGCATTGACAAAAAGAAATGGACGCAGGCATCATCTTGGTAACCAAAAAACTGGGCTTAATTTTTTTGTTGTTTTGTAATATAAACATTTGGATATGAGTCATGACAAACTTAAAAAGTCAACCTTTTGCCTTTAGTAGCATCCAGTAGTACGTTCATTCAGTAAGACGAACGCCCCTCCCTCCAATTTGGGACAAGAAGGTCAAGAACAGCATCTCATAAGGATCTGGATGCAACCAAAGAAATGATACTTTGTTGGACAAATTGCATCATGCCAATATTTCCCTAAAAACTTGAAGTAGATGGAGACAAATTCTGCTGATACTCAAATGGCCCCATATCAAACAGGTATGCAGGTGTGTGTTTTAAATGGTGTTAATGTACAATCATGATGGGAAATTTGCAGCCCAAACAAGATCAACCAGAAGCAACAACTTAAAAACTAGGTGGGGGTGGAGGCTAACCTCCGGGAGAAATTGGAGCAAGCACTTTGAACATTGTGGGCATTTTTCCATGGCTACTGGCATCATACCAGCTGCATCACCGAAGAAAGATTATGATAAATATACCAAGGCCACAAGAGTTATCCTATAAGCTCCCTGCGGTCTCCCAAAGCACCAAGTCTTTTCAGCTTCTATATCCAGCTTTCTTTTTTTAAAAAAAGACAAAAACGAAAGCATTGTTACCTTGCTGTTTTGGCAGGACAGTGAGCCAGGCAGACTGGTTGGCCTGCCCTATATAATTGGAGACCTTACATATATACTCCCCAGCATCCGCCTCGGTCACATTGAACAGAGCCAGCACTTCTGCATTGGAACTATTTATCCCCGAGTGCTGGAACAGACACAGGAGAACAATATAACGGCCAACCAGGAAGGTCTTAGTGCTGTCCATGGTCCCACCACCAACACACCGCAACAAAACAACCTCCATTACATCTCAACAGCGGCATTAAAGGGCTGTGGGTTTTGAAAGAACAAAATCAGTCCAGTGGCAGACAATGGAAAGCCCTGATGGAGAGAAGGGGAGGAGTGTGTGACTGACGGCTAACTGGACAGGTCGGGCGGGCCCCCAGGTTGGTCATCTTTTCCCAGTGCCTTTGATTCTCAGTACTGTTAGCTGGTGGGAACACCTCCTTGGCTGAGAGTTCTTAGTTGGGTCACGTATGGTTCTACTGGAATAATGTTCTCCTTAGGACATTCATTCTCTATGATCAACTGGACATGGGAGACGTGGTAGGCAAGGAGCTAGGAGCCAGCTGTACAGACTTAGCTGCCCCTGCCCTCAGCCTCCTGAAGAGCAAGCTAGATCTAAAAAAGAGGCAGATGCTATGAAAATGGGGCTTGCAAACAAGAAATAAGACAGCAAAGATATGTTCCTTGTTCAGCATGTCACTGGTGCAGAAACATGACCTAGAGTTTATTGTCTAAATCACCTGTGAATGGATTTCAAAGGTCAGGGTTTCTTTTCTTTTTTAAGGAAATCCAAATTGTTTCTAAAACATAGCTACTAAAATTGGATCCCAACATCCTATTCATAGAAAACAGCATCAGAGTAACAATCAACACTGGTACAATGCCTTGAGCCTACAAAGCTCTTCCCATCCGCTTTACCCCATTTATTCCTCACAACCACCGGGGTAGGGAGACAGTATCATAATCTCTACTTTTACAGATGTGCAGCTAAGCCTAAATGTCTGCGATCTCAGGGCTGATAAATAGCTGAACTAGTCTCTCTCCCAAGTTTAGTAGTTCTTCCCCTACTCCATAGCTCCCTTCAGAAATTTTACTAGCAAGCGTAATGATCTGTTAATTCCTTAACACACCCTCTGCTGGCTAGTCAAAAAAAGAGATCATCCTCTCTCAACTCCAATGGGAAATCAAACAACCTGTGGCCACACCCATGAAAGAGACCCCAGCTGTGGGTATCTTTAGATTCAGAAAGTCCTCACCTTGAGAACCTTGAGGTAGGGCAGCCCATCAGGCCCGTATTTACTGCCGTTCTTTTCCACGTGCTTGATCCACTGGATGTGGGGCTGGGCATCACTGTAAACCTTGCACACAAACTCCACGTCTCCTCCGACCACTGTGGAGGCATTTGCCGGCAGTCCGGCTTGGAGGATGGGCCGGTGAGGCGATCGCTCTGGTAGAGAGAGGGAAGAGAGGGGGAGCGGGGATGGGAGAAGGAGAGGCCAATAAATAAGTTGTGTTGTCCGGAGGCCTGTCAGTGAACTCATGCCAGAAAAGCCTCAAGCCTGCTGGCTGACGCCTTTGAAATAACACCGCAGCCCCATGAATAACAGAAATGGCTTCAAAGGAGACTGCTAGAGCACGACCCTTGTAAAAAGAACACTTACTCAGAAAAACAGAGAAAAGAACTTACTACGTCCCAAGTTGTTGGTTGTCCATAGCCACCTGATGAACAGGGGAAGAGATTTTACTTTGACAGTCTAAGTGACACACAGTATGGGAAGGGAAGCTTCTTCACTTACCCTATTTGAGATCATCTCAAAGGTTCACCTCAACCACAAGCTTAACATCACAGGCAAATGACAAGACTCACTTTACGGACACTCTGAATACCAAAAGTGGTTTCAACAGGCAAGTGTCTCCCAATACATTTTTTTCTTTTCTGAGACAGGGTCTCACTCCATTGCCCAGGCTGGAGTGCAGTGGCCTGATCACGGCCTCCCAGGCTCAGGTGATTTTCCAACCTCAGCCTCCTGAGTAGCTGGGACTACAGGTGCCCGCCATCATGCCCAGCTAATTTTCAAATTTTTTGTAGTGATGGGATTTCACCATGTTGCCCAGGCTGGTCTCAAACTCCTAAGCTCAAGCGATCCGCCCACCTCGACCTCTCAAATTGCTGGGATTACAGACATGAACCATTATACCTGGCTCCAATAGACTTCTAAGATGCTCCGAGAAGACTTCCAATCTTTGTCTTAAAAAGTAAACTAAAAGCTAAAGCCCAAAGTTATGAAGAGGCTTGATTAACAATGGGATTCATCTCTTTATTGTGGATTTTACTTCATTCATTCATTCTTTATTCACCCATTTGGCTCTTTGATGAATATCAGGTGTTACTCTGCCAGGTACCAAATGCACAAGTAGATGTTTCCAATATGGCACTGAAGGAAATGTAAGGAGACCAGTTTCCAGCTCCCGGCTTATGTTTTAGACTGCCCTAAAGGAGGGCATAGATGGTATCCCAAAATTACTTCCTAGCGTCACTTGTCTTGCCTCTCTTTCCCTCGAGAACATGTTCTCAACAAAGAACTGACCCTCTCATCTTATGCCTCCAAAGCTCTCCAGTTAAGAGGTGGTCCCTGCAGAACTTTTGTGGAAACAATCAAGCCCCGGTATGCTAGTAAACTATACATGAGCCTCCTCAAGTGTTCAGTAATACCCATAAAACGATGGGCTAAGGACTTAAATATGCTTTCTCCAAGAAGACATACAAATGGCCACTAGGTATGTGAAAAGTTTCTCAATGTCACCAATCATTAGGGAAATGCAAATCAAAACCACAAGGAGCTATCACATGACAATTGTCAGGATGGCTTAAAAAAAAAAAAAAAAAAAAAAAAAAAAAAAGGTCAGGAAGGAAAAAAAAAAAAAAAAAAAAAAAAAAGACAAGTATAGGCCGGGCGCAGTGGTTGACACCTGTAATCCCAGCACTTTGGGAGGCTAAGGCAGGTGGATCACAAGGTAAAGAGATTGAGACCATCCTGGCCAACATGGTGAAACCCCATCTCTACTAAAAATACAAAAAATTAGCCAGACATGGTGGCACATGCCTGTAATCCCAGCTACTTGGGAGGCTGAGACAGGAGAATCCCTTGAACCCAGGAGGAAGAGGTTGCGGTGAGCCGAGAATGTGCCATTGCACTCCAGCCTGGGCAACAAGAGCGAAACTCTGTCTCAGAAAAAAAAAAAAAAGACATGTGTTGGCAACGATGTGGAGAAACTGGAACACACTGCTGGTGGGAATAAAAAACGATGCAGCTACCATGGAAAACAATATGGAGGTTCCTCAAATAATTGAAAACAAAACTACCCTAAGACCCAGCAATCCTACTTCTCAGTATTTATCTGAAAGAACTGAAATCGGGATCTGCACTCCTGTATTCAATGCAGCACCATTAACAATATCCAAGAAATGAAATCAATCTATGTGTCTGCCAACAGATTAATTTTTACAATGTGGCTATATACATAGTAGAGTACTATTCAGCCATAAAAAGAAGGAAATGTTGTGATATGTGACAACATGAAAGCCATTATGCTAAATGAAATAGGACAGTCACAGAAAGACAGATACTGTATGACTCCACTGATATGAAGTATTGAAATTCACCCAATTCGTAAAATCAAAGAGTGGGGCAGTGGTTGCCAGGGGCTGGGACAGGGAAGGAAATGGTGAGTTGCAATCAAGGGGCATAAAGTTTCAGTCAAGCAAGATGAACAAGCTCAAGAGACCTCTGCACAACATCACTGTGTATATGGTACACTTAAAATTTAGTTGAAGACCAGACACAGTGGCTCATGCCTTTGAGCATAATCTCAGCACTTTGGAGGCTGAGGCAGGAGGACTGCTTGAGGCCAGGAGTGTGAGACCAGCCTGGGCAACATAGCAAGACTCCTACCTCTACAAATAATAAAAAGCTTAGCCAGGCATGGTGGAGCAGGTACTTGAGACTGAGGTGGGAAAATGGCTTGAGCTCAGGAGGTTGAGGCTGCAGTGATCGTTTCTCCACGATCTTGCCATTGCACTCCAGCCTGGGCAACAGAGTAAGACCCTGTCATAAAAAAGAAAGCAACTTGGTTGAGATGGTAGTTCTCATACTCAGCATTCTTGCAACAATAAAATAAAATAAAAAGAATTAAATAACAGACCACCAGACTGCTATGTGATATTGTCACACAAACTTACTGGAAACTTCCTACATAGTAGCTCTGCCAAAAGCCACACAAAACACAACCATTTGTCCATTCATGATACAACTCCATCCCGACAGCCTTGCACACACCAGCCTCCTCCCTCTCCTCCTCCCCTAGGTGTGGGTACCACTATTCTAACCTCCAGCGTTCAAAAACAATGAGGGAAATGAGGAAAACCCAGCCAGCTCAGCACACCAAGGATGTCTCTGCACTGTACCTGAGAATCCCCGTGCACTGGGCTGGAAACAGCCAATTACAGCGATAGATATCTACACCTTCCTGTATTGGGCCTTTCAGATTAAAACATCATTGAGTGGAATTTGTTGGACAAGAGCCAGACCATGTGCAAATTGATTTTACTGCATACGCCTGTTGCTGGCCTTTAAAAACATTGTTAAAAGAAAGAAAAAGTGCTAGTGGTTACCCTTAGCACATTTCATTCCAGAATCTCCCATCACTTTACAGACATCTATGTTTTCACATTAAAAAGATAAGGATATAGCAGCCGCAAAGAAATCATTCATTTGCCCCTATATTGCCCATGTAGGCTCAGCAAAGAACCAGAAGTTAAGACTTCTGGTGTTTGTGGGTAGAAAAATCTCAAAGCTGGGTCCCTTCAAACGTCATGTGAAACCCTTGCTCTCTGGCTCATCCACTGACCCAGGGATGGGCCCCAGCCAGCCTCCTGGTCAGGCCTGGCAGCCAGCTGGACACCCCGGGGACCTGTCCGCAGCGGGCAGCGACCGAGGTCTGGTTTAATCCCAACTGGCCTCATCCATGTGGGAAGGACAGAGTTAAGTCCACGCGCAAACACAAACACACTCTTCTTTCCTCACCAGGCCTCCTACCAATAGATTTCACAGCACGGGGGGAAGCTGTCCTCTGCGCTAGATCCTGCCAGCCAAGGTCACAAACGATGCTGCTACGCACCTAGCAAATAGTGAGAAGGTTTCCTCCTTCACATGGAAATGTAGACTTTAGGCATCCATTCATGCCCTGACGCTGTTTTCCTGTTTTGTACTTGCACACGCAGGTGTGTGTAGTGTGGGTGCGCTTTAAGATAAATATTTACAGGGGGCCTAAACATCTATTCTTAGAAACAAAGGTAATAAAATCTTAAATGTCATAAGCCAGATAGACTGAGTTTCAAACCAAGTCCTCTTTCTTAAACATACTTGTTTCCAATAAATCGTTTCACAAGCAAACATTGTGTATGCAGCACCAAATAATGATGCCCCGTGAACAATGAGCGCTTTCATACTGCCTGACATCTCTGGCCTGCGCCAGGCTTCGACAGGGAATTTAGTCACTGGGGCAACACTGGCAGAGCCCACTACAGAGCTGCAGTCTTGTTTTCCTTGTGGTCAAAGTGCCGCTGAGCTCCAGTTATTAAGTTATTCCAATGCTATCCCGACTATGTACACACACACACACACACACACACACACACACACACATACACACGCCCCAAGTTTGCAATGGTTTAATGTTATTGCATTAGCAAATTACAGCATACCAAATGTTACACGCTTGCAGTCTTGAATTCATCTTTTCAAATTTTCTCACCTTATACAAAATAACCTCTTAACCACTCCTACTCCCCCCTCCACCCTTTCTCACTTCTGGTAGAAAAACTGCAAGCAGGATTGCTCTGTAATAGAAACCTTACACTGTCTTCCAAAACTTATTACAGCTGCCTTCAGTATAAAATGAAACCTTAGAGAACGTTATTTAAAATGTTTTTAAAAAGTCAGTAGTTCTCATGTTTCGTTTCTCCACATCAGGCTTTGATTTCCTTTGCAACCTTATTCTCTGCCCTTAAACAAGTCGGAGACGGAGGCCTGGACGTCTTGGAAAAGGGCCCAGGACGCCAGCATCTGCCCAGCCCTGTGTTCCTCCTCTCGAACCCTTCAGCGATCCACCTCCTCTCGAAATCCATCGGAACCTTAGAAACAGTGAGCAGTAAGCGGATGGCAGCACCTGGACTCCCGTCCTAACTTCTGAAAAACCAGGGTGATGGCAGGGTGCAGACGGTGGATGAGGATACAGGCTGGGCACAGTGGGGCCCCCTTTGTGGCCTGGCCCAGTGGGCACCAGGGACAAAGGGGATGATGACCCCAAGAGCTCATGTGTTCTCCCCGGAGGAACCTCCTCAGTCCCTGGGCAAACCAAACGCCTCAAGTCTGCAACTTTTTTGCA